ATGTAAGTCTATACAAAACAGCGACAAAATTACGTTCAGCTCGTTATTCTTATGCGATATACAAAAATCGTATTCCTGCCCCCTTTATATTATAATAAAAAAAAATTATTATATGATTTCAAAGCTTTTTCAAATATTTTAGTTTTATTCACGACACAAGATTGCTTTGTATTTAGCTTTTTATGAATTCAGTTAATTTTATTTATGCAAATTTAAGCCAAAAATAACAAAAATAAAGTAGAGTCAATCTTGGAAGTATTATATTATTAGAGCGTAAAGATTAAAATGATTTTATTCATCTATTGGGATAGCTTTAAAATTTAGGTTCGGCCATCGGACTTGCACTTCGTATTTGAGATTTGAGGCTTAGTTTTAGAGATAAGTTTTTCCATCACTGAAGGATTTTTGTACTGAGACAGATAAAGGATCGCAGAAGCATATATTCATTCCAAATTCAATCTGATGATCTGTCGGAGCAGGGTACGCCAAATAGCCACAGAAACAATTGGTTTCGGAATAAAATAAATAAACTCTATTTAAATAAGGTTGAAAGATCAATGTACACATGTGTGTGATGTGTATTCAGATGACATACGAGTACATCCGTACCACAAAAATGGTCAAGGGTATACAATCGTTAACAACAAATGTGACGAAAAGATCTTTTGTCGTCCTATATTTCATCCTAAGAACAAGTATGAGCATAATGAGTTGCATTATGTAAATTCACGACTTTAGTGTAGTTTGATTGTATTTTTTTAGGTGGCAAGCCGGGAGTATTAAAAGTGTTGGTTTAGGAACTCATTTTATGGTCCAGATAAACATATCCGTGCTTGTGCGGTCGATCGATCTGGGCAAGTGATTTAGAGCCATTTAGAAACTTTAGGTACAAGTACATGTAATTTTTACTCATTATTTTCGAAATCTATGTACATACATACATATGGACGAGTATGTAGTAAATGTAATCATGTAAAAATAAACATGTGGAATTTACGGAAACAATAAGCTATTTCTTTATACTTCTTTCTACTATCGCGCATGCAATAGGGCTTACAAAATAACGGCAAGAGTGTTTTTGGGTGCAGGGTAATCCACTGCCAGGTTTGTCATTCAAGCCTGGTTTTTAACCTGCGTAGTATACAACACGATTTTCATATTTCAGGTGTTTTTGTTACCAGCATAGATGACAGGAACTTATGTATGTTTTTTATTAAAATTGTTGGAAACGAAGAAAATATACTATTCGTAATAATTTATTGTGGCACGCACTAGTTGTTGTTAGTTTGAGGAATTTGAAAAACAACACCCACATGGGCGTTTCTCGCGTTTAACGTCCACCCAATCAGGCATGCTTTTGTTAATAAAATTATTCAAATGTCAAGATAATAACTTTTAAAACAATTGAAACCAAAGAAATATAAACAGCTGTGTGTGTGTGAGACTTTTGAATGGTGATCCCTCACAGGTGCCATTAGTTATCTGTGGCATCGGCAAATTAAAAATTCAAACATGTTCTAAAGCACAAGCCTTCGATCAGAAGATGATTAAATACTCATTCATGAAATGCAAATTGTAGTGACTAGACATGCTGCTGGGTAGCAACTGGCAGACCAGCTTCTTAATAATGACCTCGAAGACTGAACATTAAAGCGTTAAACATTTGAAGAGCTCATTTTGTTTGTGGGACGTGGAGCGAACTTGTTTAATTAAATTTAAGATCTGTCGTACGTCTTTGCTGTGTCCATATACATTTCCAGAGGAATCTTCTATGCTGCTGATGCTGATGGTGATGGTGATGATGATGCCATTTCAAGTCTTTAATCTAAAAATGCGTCTGCGTTTTATTTCATTACATGCCGCTCGTAAATTAAAACCGCAAACAGCGCACGTTCCAATCTGCATATGTATTCATGTCTGTATACAAATGAATGTACATATGTATGCATGTATATACTTATGGTATGTACGTATGTATGTATATCCGAAACACGCATGACTTGTTGCATGTGCAGTCGAACCGAAGCGTCAGGGACTAGCCACTGCTACTTATCACGAGTGGCCAAAGTTATGGCGATTGTGTCGCCATCGACTCGACTCGTGCAGCATTGACTGCTGGCGCTGCCCCTTCCTTTGAGGCATAGCTCGTTTGCACGGGCAAAATGTTAATGAATTGCAGACAGGTTTGTTTTTGTCGGGTTGCCTGGTTGTCGGGTTGTCGGGTTGTCGAGGAGTCGGATGGCCGAGTAGTCGGTAGTCGAGTAGCCGGGTAGCCGGCTAGCCGGCTATTGGGGTTGTCAAGGTGCCACACAAAGCGCCGGCTGGACCTGCCTTTCCCTGGAATCCTGCAAATGCAGTGCAGAATTGCCGCTTGTCACTTCATTTGCATATTTGTGTGTGCTATGCGGATTTGTGTACGTATGGCTGTGAGCTTGGGTGGACGCCCCACGCTAGGTGTTTGATGGCGGTCGAATTGAATTGACTGGGCGCATTGAGAGCTCCACCTGCTACATGCACACTCGTTCGAGTATGTATTCGTACGAGTATTTGCTGATCATTGTAATGACGCTAATGCCAAGCGCATCGTCTTCACAAACATCACACATGACGCATTTGCCACCAACTGCGAGTGTGCACGCAGAAAACAAAAAGTAAAATTGTTTCCTAGACACGCTGTCAGTGGCAGCGACACCACCACCTCTGAGCAAATCGAAGCCGCGTGGGCTGCCTGTGTGGCACAGCTGCGCGCATTTTAGACAGTGTGTGTGTGTGTGTGTGTGCGTATGGTGTGAGCTCCCCATCGGCCCCATTGGCGATGAGCCACCGCCAACGCAATGGGTAATCAAACCCCACTCTGGCAGGCATTCAGTGTGGTTGTGAATTTGTGAGGCTGTGTGGCTGTATGGCTGTATGGCTGCATGACTGGCTGGCCGTGGCTGGCGTCAGCGGTGCGTCCTCTGCAGTTGCTACACGGCTACACTTCACTTCACTGCACTTCAGTTTGGTTCTTCTTGCGAACGCTTATGCATGCATCTTGATAAAAATTAAAAGCCGCCATTCCCAGCGCCAGAGATTTATGCAAATAGCACAAACACACGGCCAGGCTGTTGATGCTGTTGTTGCTGTTGGTGCTGCTCCTGCCGTCCCTGTCTTGGGCTCTGTTGCAGAACTACACATACATACATCTCTACAGCAGGCCGGAGCAAAGAGGAAGTGACCATTTGTGTTGAATTCCACATGGCAGCGTTAAAACAGTCTGCAGGCGGTTCCATGTGGCAACAGCCTCTGCCATAGCACACAGACTCATTATAATTCAGTTCACACTAAGCACACAATGAGCGCCCGCATTATTGCAATGGTCGGTGGATCGGTAGGGCTACTGGTTACCCGATTGGTGTCAAACCCGGTCGGTGGGGCCCACAAAAATCCGCACAATCGAATCTTTTTTAAGAATGCCGCCAATTGCATGTGAAATTCATTTCACTTGCGTAGCACACCTCAAAATAACAACAGCAGCATCGACTACCCAACAACTGATACAAAGTCAGCAGCCACAACTCGTTTGCATATGGCATCGTCATCATCAAAATCATCATCATCCTCATCATCCTCATCCCCAATGTAATCATCATCAGTAGCTGCAGACCAGCTCGACCACGTTGCCATGTTCTGCCTTCAAGCCGTATGCAAGAGCATAAAGAGCAAAGCAACTGCAACGGCAACAGCAACCACAAAAAATCAGAGGAAAATATGACACAACTGGCGCCGCCACATACTACACATACGTGTATAGAGCTAAAGCGGCTCGCATATATCCGCGTACCGCCATTCCCCGCCCAGCCCAGCACCAAGATCATGGCTCGTTGTTTGCATGGCCCCAAGTGTTTCTGCTGCATCAGCCAAAGAGGCAGACCGACTATGCGTTTGGGGAATGCATGCCTTCTTTCCATGCTCTTCCTTTTCTCCCACTGCGCTGCTCTCTGCCTCTTTCTCGATAGTATTCTCCCCACTCTTCCTCCCGTTGTCCGTTGAAATTGAATTGAGTGCGCCTCACACATACAATACGAGTATGAATGTACGTGTATGTTGTAGGTTGAAGTCCACGCCAAAGACATGAAAAGAGTGCGGGCGCGGTGGCTGGGTGATTGTCAGCGAGCATCTGTGACAAAGGATGCCATGAAAAAGTGGAAAAAACACCACATTTGGACAGACGTACCCACCGACGACAGTGCATCGATTCAATTCAATTTCATTTTCCCAATGGAGAACAAGGCTGAAACCGACTGGTCTTGGCCATTGTGGCTTTCAGATGCATACATACATACTTGTATGTACATATGTATATACATTTGGTTTATACCCGTACCCCAAACACTTACAAACATTGAACAATTGATACTGGTGCATTATCCATGCCATACGCTGTAATAATATGTAATGTATGTTTTGGACCAAGTGGTAAAATCTGATCTGAAGCGCCTCAGTGGAATTCATATATTCCCAACAATATTTATCAAAATAACGCCATGCGTTTAATAAACATACATACATACATATATACATATATATATGTATGTATGTATTTATGTATATGTGGAATATCTGCAATCGGGGAAGACTGCGTTTCACTATTGCAAATGTTGATCTTATGCTCTGCAGAATTACTTTTAAAGGTAGATAGTCGTGCAAACATATTTGTGAGCACAATCTCTGGTTCTTATTCATTCATAAAAATCCACTTCAAAACATACAAATAGACCAAGCCAATCGAACATGTTGGACGCCCACACAAGCAACAAAACACACACATATGTATATCGATAACCATGCACATGCAGGCATACGCATGGCAACTTGTCAATTTTACAGATGTTCGGCAGCTCTCGAGCCACTGTGCAACCAAGTTCGACCGCGTGTTGTTTTTAGCATGATGCTGGTTGCGAACAGAACTGAAATTCAGTCAGAATTGGACTGTGTTGCTCGTCGGACGTGTTTAATGAGGACGTAGTGGAAGAGTGTACCGGGAATATATGAAAGACAAGTGAGAGGACAATGTCTGCCTATTTATATATAGTACATGTGTATGTAAAAAGCTATTGAATAATTAAAAAGAAATTAATGTTCAAATAATAACAAAATTCAGAGCGCGCCACAATAAAAGAGTGACAAATAATAATAATAAAAATAAAACACGTCCAGCGTACTACAGCACTTAGCTTAAAAAAGCCCAAAAGCCGAACCGTGGTGTTATGTTGTACGCATAGATACAACTAAAAACAAATAGATATCTTATCAATTTTCCATGTGAGAATATAATTACCATTTACCGGGTACAAATCAAGTCATTTAACATACTTCAACAAAAGGCGTTCGGGAGAGTTTTGTGGATTACGCGTTGCTCTAGTCAAGGAGTTGGATTAATTGTAGCCCGCCACTATTATGGCCTCCGTGAGCGTCCCCAATGCAGACTCACTTTACATGCAACTAAATGCAGCTGAGCTCCAAGCTATAAACATGAAAGGTAAGTCTCCTCTCAGGAACTCCACAGTGTTGGCACTGCAATTGGATCCCATTTTTGCGGTCTATCACAGTTTACCAGAACCTGCCTACCAAATAACGACAATGTAATCGAGTGCCACCTGTTGGCTTTCGTCGGGTTTGTCATCAGGCATACACGAAAATATAAAATTTATTTGCCTGCATTTAAATAAATTGGCGCATTGACTTCTTAAATTACGGCCAAAAAAGTGAACACTTAACAAAATATTTGCTTAATAAAACGTGTCTGACAATTTGATTGAATAAAAATGCAAAATATCGGCTTCGAATTTCGGTTATGAGTTTTTTGCTGTTTATTGGAATTTCTGTAGTTCAGTAATACTCAGATCTTTTGCAAAGGGAAACAAAGCTTTATGATCAAACGGCAGTTGCTTTCACTAGTTTTCATCGCTGATTGGGGGAAAATAATAAAGTTGTTTAATATGATGGAATCGCCACCATTTCCCTCGATTTGTTCAGATACATATGTATGTACATATCAAATATTTTTGTGATTATTTGCCTGCCACATAAATACATCCACACATAATTTACTAGACTATAGTTATTTTATTTGGGATTTAAGCAGCACCAATGTGGTGATACCGTTTGAGAAGAAAAAACAGATGTAAAAATTTGTTAAATTGCGGCTAAATAATGCGCGGGTGTTGCTCTTCCACAAATTATGAGGCATATATGTATGTATATAGTACATACATACAAATATGTATTTGAATAGAGCTTTTGGCTTGTTGTATTGGATTGTCGTTTATTCAAGTTTGTACGTGTATGTTTAGAAAAGATGTGCGGCAAATATTGTACACTTTTCTGTATACATTTGTACACACATATAGTACATACTTGTATGTATTTGATCAGTTGTTTCCGCATGGTATGCGCAGTTCTCTGCAAAAGTGGGGAAGTAGTGTTTAGCTTAACTGTTTCATTCGTACTACCAAGATACGCTGGAGTTAGGTTACGGGAAACAGTTTAGTTTGGTGACTCAAGCCTGAGGGCTTCACTTTCTGTGTTATATAAATCAGACGGGCAGACAGACGGATGGGCAGACGAATGGAGAAACGCCCACGCCTTACCCATCGAATGAACTATTCAGCTCCCAAAAGGCAGAGGGGCGGCTAGAAGCGCTATTATCCTTACACACACATATACATGCGTACATATGGAAATACTCGTATATAGCGAACAGTTGCATTTCAAAAACAAGGTTAATGGCACCACTAAGCAAATAAACCACGATACAGCTGCTAACATGTTGTTTTTATTGGGGGCAGCAGCAGAGCCAGCAACAGCAGCAACGGCAGCAGCAGCGCTTGTTACAATTTGCCATTTCTACTTGATGGCAAAACTCGTAATAAATCTCTGAAATTGAAACGTTAACAAATAGGAACGTATGGCAGGCAAGCTCGGACGACTAGAAAAAGTCCAGCTGTGCACGAACTTCAAATGAAAAATTGTATAAATTAGAGCCAACTGATGACAACAGATTTTTATGGTCGCACATGCCGGCACCAACACGCACACGCACCCGCACCCGCGCCCACCCAGTTCAGGTTCAGAAGGCCGGATCCGACCGTGCAATTCGCAGTAGCGGGCCGCAGCAGCCGCAGCAGCCACAGCAGCCGCTTCATCATAAAAAGGAGCAATCGCATCGGAGTGATGGTTGCTGTGAAATATGTGGCAAAAAAAGAGACACAGACAGCGCCAACTATTTGTCGCCACTTAGTTGGGGCCAAGGCATTCCGGCATTCAGGCAGCCCGGCAGCCCAGCAGCCCAGCAGCCCGTCAGCCCGGCGCCCGTCCTGGCACAAGGCTCGAATGGCGTGACGCTTGTGTCAAACACCCACTTAGCCGCAAGTGCGCCTGTCCGTCCCACAGAGACAACGATGGCAATGTCGCCAGACATATTGGCAATTTGTGCGTTGTGTGCGTGTGTGTCAACAATATGAGAGATAGATAGATAGATATACATATACAAGTATGTAGATAGATAGGTAGATATACACATACATACACACATACGTACAACTACAGCAGCAGTGCTCAAAATTTATGGCCGCAGATAGCAAAATCAGCCACAGTCATCCAGGGTGTGTCGAAAGCGTCAAAGTTGTACTTGTACTCCACTTGGTGTTGTTCTCTGTCTGTCCGTACTGTTGGAAAACAATGTCATCAGCCGTCTGTACCCGTATACACATGTACGAAAGTTATACTCGAGTGCATGTATTATACAAATACATTATCGAGCGGGCAGACCTCCTTGGCTACTGCCGCCGATTTTGTGTTTTGATGCCACAGACTGTCGGCTAGTCTGCCCAATTGCTTGGCATACTCGAATGTACACACTCTTACTACATGTACTATATCTACCATAGTATTATGTACGTGTATGTTGTTCTGGCATCGGTCTTTGCATTTGGCATTGGACAATATTCTTTTTCAGCATTTCAGCGTTTGTTTTCATTTGCTCCCGACCACTTGGCGCCACGTCCATTTTGATGCCATTTGCTAGACATGCCGTATACTTTTTAAGTAACTTTAAATAAATAACTCCGAGTTCACACACAGCTCTTTGTCCAATACAATAATGAAGAGATAGTAGTTGCTAAATCCGGCGAATCGAGTGAAATTGTACTTCTTCATCCATCTCCCATTTGTATCACATTTTTGAATCGCGTTGTTTGCCATTCGCTGGGTGCCATTTGGCTACGAAATCTGTTCTTGGTGGTTCGACCTGACTGTCGCGCTTCATCTACCCTGCCCCGCTGCACCCGTCTGAGCTCAGGCCCGCCGTCACATACATCTTCGGAGCTGCTGGGATCCGGGTGTATTGTTGATTGCCAGCCACTGGCAAGAAGACTCTCCGTCCGCTTAGGGTATGGTTTGGACTGCGAATATTTGTCTCTGTTGCTTTTGGCGCCATCTGCTCCAATAAAATTTAATGCAAACTGTTTATGCCAAGCAGCACATCGTCCTTGGTAGTTGGGATGTGACACCATGAAGCCCATCTACTGGCGGCTACAGAGAAGTTGCCTCACTAAAAAGAGCATGTCTAGATGATATTATCAAGATATTGAACTGGTTTTCAAATTCTCACTGTTCTACCCTTTGTGGAGAATGGGAGAAATGCTGATTTGTTACATACAAGTAATGTAGATTATAATGCTGAGTACATAGCTAGTGGTATTGCGTATGAACAAAATATACCACGTTTAACGAACAAAAAGTATACTGTTTATTTCTCTATTAGTTGCACGAATTGACGTGTACTGCTCATATTGATATTTTCAATTTAATGCCACATTTCGTTATCGTGCCTTCCCGAGACATTCACGGTGGTCATTAAATATACGCACATCGGACTCAAAACCAGACGGCGTTACACGTTTTTTTTTTCATTAAACGGATGGACCCTTTCCCGGCTTTCTTCCTTCTGGCTGATATGCTAATTAATTATTGGACAGTTGTTCGCCATGTGCTCGGTATGGTAATTTGCAAGCAGCGAAATTAAATTTTAATTTTGTTCACTTGGCAAGCAATGTGGAACACAAGTGAAGCAAATATGATCCGCAGAAGCCAAACTGAACGAACTGAGGCCAAACCTCGTGCTCCACTGCAGTGCTCCATTTGTGCTCCGGTGTTTCATTCATAAAAATAACTCGTCATTTTACTACGACACACGCTTGATGCCCCCTCAGTCTTCGCCACCATCCCAGCACATAATGTGTTTATAATTTATGGGTATGTGAGTGTCTGTTTGAGCCAGTCATGTACTGATAAGCGGCCGCTTCCCACACACGCCACGGCTTTAGTCTCGGGATGGACTTTCTGGCAAATGCCGCCATTGACTGACTGACTGACTGATAACCTTTGCTTGACTTTCAGCGCGAGTGGGGCTTTTCAGCTGTCTCAGGGAAGCTGTGTGCATCTTTTTAGCAGTTCGTTAGCTGATTTCAATTCTGTGTCATTCAGTTTTGGACAAAACGGCTAATATCAGCCAAATGGATACGAATTTTCGCATCAAAGTAATGGGAAGTGATTCCTGAGGCACAGGCCAAGCGAATGTGTGTAAAAAACAGGACCTTTTTGGGATTTCTTTTAAGCGGATTGGTAATGGTAATCGCTAATAGCCATTAGTAGAAGACTTAACTTCTAAAACTACTAATAGATACATGTCGTATGAGATTCGTAGGTCATTGCATCAGGTAGATGCATGAACGGGAATAGGATTCCCCAATCTAATAGCAATATCTTGGAAGGGACCCTACTCGTACAAAGCGTTTCCTTTGATAAGTACGATGGATTTAGGGGTTGCAGCTGTACCCAAGTCATGGCTCTGTATCACATGCGCGAGCACCTTAAAATTTATGGTCTGGGCCCCTCACGGCACTTCGGGAACACACAGGTGCTTTGGACAATACGGCGGTGGCGACACTAACAATGCTAACGACGTTAAAGCAAACATTTGTCTAAATATAACGGCGGCTGCTCAACGGCTACGAATATTTGAACAGCCTGATTCGTTGCTGCAATATCAGCCACTTGCTCTAAATTCTGTTGTTAATTTTTTTTTGCTATTTGTCTAACTAAAATTAGCTATGATAACAAGATATTGTGCTTATAAATAGTTGAGTCAACATTCAAAAGTCTGTCTGGTGGGATAAGCGAACATGTGAGCTCCACTCTGTTTACGGCGCTTAGCATTTTTGTGAAATGAAATATTGGATATGATAGACAGAGCTTACTTTCTTTGCTTATTTTCATAATGTCCTCAGTCCGGTACATTTGTGTAAACATTTAACACGACTTTATTGTTCCCAAGCATATCTACCCAGTGAAGGGCAGGGCTTTTGGCTGTTGAGCTGGAGATGCCTGCATTTGCAAAATAAATATAGAAAACTCAAAAATGTCAATTTTAATTACCATGTCGTTATAAACAAAAAGGTTTTTTTGTACCGATCGTTCCCATGGCAGCTATTCGATATAGTGAGTCGATTGTGATGAAGCTCCATGAAATGCTTCCTGATGTGAATATGCGAGAAGAGTAATCAACAAAAGTGCATTAAACCAAAATTAAATAAATTATAAATGCGTCAGGAGTAAGGGGGTAGTGTCAGGAGTAGGGGGAGTAACCGCAGCTGGTGCGTTGGTTTTTGTCGTAAGCATCTAAGCCTGACAAGTTGTTGAACAGATAAAGGCTAGACTCTTAGGCACGTTCATCAAAAACGGGGATTTTATTGTGAGTAACCGACGTCAGAGCCAGCGCGTATACTATTATGCAAAACCAAATCAAACACCTAGCCTCAATGGCAACCGGTTCCCCATCATACAGATTGACGGCATTGGTATACTCGTAGATGTTGTAGATCCACACGTGCTGCGAACTTTGAGCAATTTCACTAACATTGATCAACTTTTTTTCGATTATCTATTTTTAGATTCGCCCAACTCAAATGACCGTGATGCGGGCTTCTGCTCTGCCAGCTCGGAAAGCGAAGGCGGCGACGACTTGGCGCTTGAGCATTCACACATCGGCAGTGCCAATGTGGGGCCGGCGGAAGACTACCACACCACAACCAAAATGGTCGAAGTAAAGCCACTGGCGCTAATGAGAAATAAGCGCAAGAGCACGGAGCCTTCGAAAGTCGTGGAGTCCTCGGCCTCAATCAGTTCAATCATCAGCTGTACGGCAGCTGCTGTTGCAACGGGGCCGCTCAAGAAGCGCATTCGGTATACCTCCTCGGCCGACTCGGCAGTGGTGTTGACGCCGCCTGCCATGGCCTCGCCCTCGCCATCGCCCAGTAGAGATGGACTTATGTGGGATCCTAGTCAAGTGCTGCCGCACGAAGGCATGCCACACCCGGCACATGTCTTCGTCCGGCATCCCGGCGTAACCACGCTGCACCGCGACCTCACAGTCCAATTGCAGCAACAGGTGCAGCAGGAGCCGCTTGCTCTGGTGCTTAGAAAGCCACAATCCACTGAAAACGGGCTCCCGCACTCGAACAGCGTCCAGCACAGCCCCAAGAAACCCGCACAGAACAAGAAATTACGGCGCTCTACGACCGAATCCCCTTTGGACTTGCATGAGGAAGGCGATTCGAGCAAGGGGAACTCCAGTAATGGTCTGCTACGACCACAGCAGCGCAACTACAAAAACATGACGCGGGAGCGACGGATTGAAGCCAATGCACGGGAGCGTACCCGCGTCCACACCATCTCGGCAGCCTACGAGACGCTGCGACGTTCCGTGCCCGCCTATGCCAGCTCCCAGAAGCTGTCCAAGCTATCCGTGCTGCGAGTCGCCTGTTCTTACATACTTACATTGAGCCGCATGGCCGGCGAGGACTACAGTGCTGACCAGTCGGAGCCGACGATTGCCGAATGCATCGAGGCGGTCACCTCCACCATACAAACCGAGGGCAAGATCAAACGTAAAAAGGATGAGTAGTATTGCCTTACACGAGATACTCAAATTCCAATATTCTGAAGTGATGTTGGGTGCTGTTGTTGTTGGAATTGGAGTTGGAGTTGGATTTGGATTTGCAACATAGCTTTACAAGTTTTCAAAGCGTCTTTGGTAGATTTATTTGCTTTATTTTTTACAAAGGGGAATCAATTATGCGCATTGATATAAGTATGTTATACAATATACGAGTATGTAAAAACAAATAGTTCTATACTACTATATACTATATACTATACACATGTACTATAGATATTTTAGATCCTAAAAATAAAAACGATGTGATCTTAATTTAAACTCAATTTTAATGAAAAGCAAAATTAATTGATGGCAAAGCCCATATTTTTGGCCAAAGTACAAATTTGTAGTAAAATAAATGGAAAACAATATCCTTGCAATTTTTATGAATGAAAAGACAATAATTGAATCAAATTGAAGACATGACAAATAATACAAATGGACAATAATTTCTAATAATTCAGGCACACAAATACCACAAAACACTGTAAATAAAATATGTACAAACCTAATACTATCTAAATACTACATATACATACAAGTACTACTATATTAATATCTAATTCACTTTCTGAGTTACCTTCTCTGTCAATACTTACTATAACTATTGCTTGGTAAACAAAAACTATGGTAGCTTATGCTTAATTTATAATCTCATTGTTTTTAGCTCAGTAAGTTTAAGTGCCATAAAATCAGTAAGAAAATACAAAACTGACTACTTACTATATGTATGTACACTTCAAGAGAAATATTAGTCTTTCATTGCCTCCAACCAGTATTCCATTACTCATCTAGGTACGCACGCACTCCGGTTGCGAGTATCCGAGAACGGAGTACATATACTCGTAAATCGTACAATCGACGACGTACTCGCACATTTCTATTTGGTTAATTCAATCTTATCAGTATCAGGCCGCAACAGACCATTTGGCTAAAATTTAACAGGTGTGCCTGCAAAGCGTCAGTCAAGCGCCGGTTCACATGAACCCAGTCCCAGAGTTCTCAATATTTTTTATCTGTCACATAAATGTACGCTCTGGTATACGAGTAGGGGAGTAGGTATACTACTTATAAGTATGTATGTATGTATGTATGTATATTTGTCAGCTAATCTAGTCAGGCACAAAGTGCTATGATGGTTGTCACATTTTCAGGCTTTCAGAGTGCGAGTGAACCAAAAATGCGTGTGGCATGGCGTCTGTTTTATTTTAGAGGTATACTCGTACTCGTATATGCAAACGACTGACGCGACTTTGTAGGCAAATAGAGATGTTGGGCGTCCATCTATTTGACCTAGTGCAATAGCCAGTTTAAATTACATCAGCTTGCATTCAATGGAGAACTGGTTAATTGCTATAGATACTTGTACATATGAATGTATGCATACCCAGACTCGTAAATACTATACACGTATAGTATAAGGTACTTCGAGCTTGCGACAGGTGTGAGCGCTACACCAAGAACCCGAGCAGGGAGCATACACTATGAAATAGTTCCTTTCAGACCACCAAATAAAGTTACCATAATCGATTATGTATACATATCTGGATTCGATTTCATTTCACATTTCAGCAACGACTCTTAGCCCCCTTGTCGTTGTTGTTGTTGTTGATCGCAGAAAAATAAAGTGACGAAGAAAACAAGTGAAATGCTCATATTTATTTGCAATTCATGGCTTCAATGATTCAGCGTTTTGTCAGTAGAATCATGGCACAAAGCGCTGTAGGTCAATGGGTGTTATCTATCGAACTGTGGCAGCCGTAAGACTAGATGATTTGCAAATCGAACGCGAATAACATAATATTCGACAGTATTTGAAGCATAGTACATACCAGATTTTAATATAAGGATTGCAACGCATTGCCGAAATCTTCCTCGCGTGCTGCTACGTAGTTAACGCAGCTTGGAACCGGCCAGATGTCTCGATTAGCTTTTCATTTAAATTAATCTAAGTCCGAGCTTGTGCTGATGTAATTGTTGCACTTGATTACGGTACTCGGCACTGAGCGCTTACTAAATTATTAAATTATTTATAATTCACATTTATTTTCTCAATGAACTTGTCTCTTGGTGGATTATGGGGCAACACCCGTTGCCGTAGTTCTTGGGCCAGTACCCGTACTGCCGTAAAATGCAAAACTTTGAATTTTTATTAACTACAATTTACATTATTCATGAATTATGCAGTATGAGTAAACAGCATAAATTAATATAAGTTAATAAATGTACATGGGCGATTTGTACTATATTTGTCTGCCATAGCAAAATGTTATTTTTGCTAAATTTGCAAAGTGCCGAGTTCGTTGAACTTAAACCCGTACCTGTTGGCAACTGGTCGGCTTGTAAAACAATTGCCAGGTGGAATAACCAGTCGCTAGCGGGTAGATCAAAATTCAGAATTTATGCTAGTTGAGGCATGCTCAAGATCATTTTATTTAATTTGTAATTGCATTCAAATAAAATCGACTCAGAATCGATACCATAATGAGTGCGAATTGGCATTTCCGTGCTAGGCGCCATGAAGTGTTAACCGGTTGATAGCTTTCTGCCGCAAGACTCTCAGCTAAGCCGGCTACGGACATCATCTGATTCTCCTTACATTGGCATTCACATACATAACCGAAAAATGCATAGAAAGTGTGGACACCTAAGGATAACAGCTCGGTAATTGTACCGTACCATTCCGTAACATTCTCTTGTGGTAAGCAATTGATGGACATCCTGCCAGGTAAGCTTTGGCTTAAAATATAATAACATATTTTGCTCTCTTCAACAAATTGGTCGAAAACTACTTGTTAAAAATAAACTTTGAATAAGGTAAGGGCGTGATTTAAATAAGGCGAAGAAAGGTATCTTCTAAAATAGAGCACACTTTTTGCTTATAATTACAACTAAAATCGGAAATTGTTATAGTCCGACTCCTTAGGTCAATTGTTGTTTGTTTGCAGGCCAGTTAAGCACAGATTAACAGCGCAAAGTAAGCAGTAGTAAGCAGTAACGACTGAAGACGTAACAAAAATAAATTGAAAACATTTTTTAAAAGTCCCAACACGTACCCAAAGGGTATATTAGTTTTGTGCGAGTGTAAATGAAACACACAGAAGGAGGCGTGGCAGACCCCGCAAAGTATATATATTCTTGATCCGTCTGTCCGTCTGTCTGTCTGTCTGTCTGTCTGTCTGTCTGTCTGTATGAACGCAAGGATCTCAGAAAGTATAAGAGCTACAATAACCAAACTTGGTATCCAGATTGTCCTGAGCCCGAGAAAGGACGAGTGTGTTCATTTTCCCCACTTCACCCCCCCCCCCCCCCCCCCCCCTATTCGCGATTTTCTATAACTCCCATAGTCACATCCAGTTAGTGATTATATACCCGTATTATGATAAGTTGATTAGAAAGAAAGTTATAGCCATATAACCAGGCCCAAGCTGTGTCCGCAGGTGTATTTGTTGCTGCTTTGACATACTTATGTAATGAACGATTCTGATGTAAATCTATGTATGGACTATTTTATATTTGATTAATTAATTAAGTAAATTAATTAAATTTTTTAAAAAATTTTTGTGTGGTGGTACAGGGTATTTAAGAATTGAGCTTGCTCGACTTAACATTCCTTTCTTGTTTTTTTTTTAATTTTTACACTCTTCTCACCGCTACAGAATTTCGTCAATACTGTCTACATTTCGAAAGTTACATAAGCCGTACTTTCATCCAAATCGGTCATTCCTAAGGAAAGTTATAAATGAAACAATTTCACTTCAGTACTATACCCACAAACTGCAGCATCAAGGTCGCTCTTCTTCTTCTCTTTGCTTCTGCCAGTGGCGCAGGGTATTTCACTGTTGGGCTTGCTCGGCTGTAGCGTTCTCTCTTGTTCACTTTGCACAAACCTAATATGCATACACTTGCTCCTTTCAGGTACAGATTATAAATGACACACGGGAAGTAAGGAACCAAAATCGGGAAGGGTAACGGGGACGATTAAGAGGTTGACAAGGACAGAATTTTTTAATAATCTAAGTTCAGAGGAGAGAAAGCGACTGTATCGAACGGAGGTACATTTACCACTTGGAGAAGGTGGTGTTTTGACTTTGTAATACTTTGTACGGATGTACAGAATGTATGTGTGGAATATTTAATCAAATGTTTTTAATATTACAAAAACATTTTTGATCGATTTTACCTCCTTAAATGAATGTAAAACTGCATATTTTAATAGGAAATGTGTCTATGCGAGTCTATGGAAGTTATGGAAAATTAGTAATTCCAGGGGGGTGGAGTAAATCTGTGAAATAAACATTTTCTGCGTATTTATATGAGCCACCTTGGAGTAAAAATTTGGTGTCTCTATCTCTGAGATTCAGTTGCACATACGGACGGACAGACCGGCCAAGATCAACTCGTCTTATACTTTGTGGGGTCTGCCACGCCTGTTTAATTATTCACCTTAAGCAACTCTAATATACTCTTGACCATTTCATGTACAGAGTATAAAAATTGAGTCAGCAACCGCTGCTTAGGTGCAGAATCAAATTTGTATTTGATAAACAATTTAGTTCCTGATTCCAGATCCATAGCAGGATACTTTGTCAACTTCTGCAATTTAATAAAAATTTAATAAAACCAGAGAGAACGCTACAGTCGAGTTAGTCTAGCAGTGAAATACCCTGTACTCTCCACTGTATCAGAAAAATAACACAAACTCGTCCTTTCTCGGACTTAGGAGAAGAATATATGTACTTTATGGGGTCTGCCACGCCTCCTTCTGTGTGTTACATACATTCGCACAAAACTAGGGTACCCTTTCACCCTTTGGGTACAGGGTGTAATGACCGATGTACATTCGCGAGAACCAACAGGAGCACGACACTTTTAGCCACACATGTGTTATAGGGTTAATTAGGAGATGAACAAAATAAAAGAGTGCGAGCGCGGGGCACAAACAACAAAAAAGCAGAGTAAAAAGAAATCAACTGTACACAGCCGAGCGGCGCTGAGCCAAAGCTCTAGCATAAATTTGGGAGAGCGAAGAAAGGCAACACAAGAGAAATCAACGCGTTGCAATCAAACTGTTGATGGACAGACATCTAAGAAGTCAGCAGAAATAGACTATAAACAGTTCGCTTCGGCTCAGTTCGGCTCGACTCGGCTCGGCTCGGTTAGCGTACTCCTTTACGCCATAGCAAAT